CATAACAATTAAACTTTTAGATATAATCAAAATAAGATAGCACATCACCGGATGTATTAAGCAAACTACATTATCGTTACTAGCGTTACAACGGATAATGACATAAACCCCATAACTACTATATGTTCCATCACCTTTATCTCGTAGAGTCTAATTTCTTAAACTTTTATGTAATGTGATTACTCGAGTTATGAAGTAAGAAAGCTCTCATTTAAACATTAAGTAATTGGATGACCATTTCGTTCATTTAAGACTGTTCATAGGCAATAAGCTCGACAGAATAAAAAAATATTTTAAGTGTTTCAAAAATGAAATAAGTGCCTATGGATGCCTTTGTATGGTTACAAAGTTGTAGCTTTTGGCCACAAGAGAAGATATTATTGAAAACTTGTATTTCAAGTAGATTGTGTCTTAATCATTTCCAGCTACAAGTAAACACCACGTGACGATGTCAATACTTTCACTGTTACACTTGTAGTAACATATATTTGATAAAGAGTAAAGCTCTTTATCATATATCGGTTATTGGATAAACAGGATATTCAACTTGTGACAATTGATTGTGATTTATATCAAATCTGCTGAATCTAATATAATTATGATAAACTACCTATAAATCATAATCAATCATCTTCATTTAAAATATTTTATAAACTTAAATCATGTTTGTCGATCTATATACAAGTGGTGTTTTAGTTTTGCTTTGTTATCTAACTTTGTCACCTGTTGTAGAGTCCTTATAGGTTTACACTGCGTACACCCAATACATAACGAAAGGAGGTCAGTTGTTAATAGCACCGTTAACTTAACAGGTCGTTCGGTTTAAACCATGTACTATCGAACTGTTTTCATCTTTTTTGTCTCGACTATTTTTCAAAAAAATGTATAAGTCCTTCTACGGGTTTTGTCTGTAGATGCTCATATAATGGCTATTTCCAAATACACTGCTTTCATTCATTATGAAAATTGTTGAGATTTAAAATTTTATTTAACATGCCGTTAAGCTAACAGTGCTTCATACAACCGGATCCAAACGGGACAAGAACAGAATGATTAAAAAACACACGATATTTAATATGGATTTTGAAAGACAATGAATATAATGTTATATATACAAATAATCAACACATGTGGTGATATGATTTTTAAAAATACAACGGAATATACATATCAATCATTGATTGCAAAATTTTAAAGAAAAAATGAACACAGATATAAATACTGTTTAAGCTAAATATGAACAGGAAAAAATCCACACCTTGTTATTACGAACCTCTTCCTCGTATCAGCCTTGGTATCTGTGTCACAAACTTGCGTACCTAATTTAACTTACCATTTGGTCTTTTAAAGAACTTTTGAGCTTCTAGTATTTTCAAGAAAAAAAATTGTTCAATATGATGTAAATCCATCAAGTTTTCGTAAAAACGTTATAAAATAAATGTCATACAAAAACAAGTATCTGTTTCAAAGTGTCTATGTAAACGGGTGATTAGACATACATATTGGTTATTATATCATAAAACAGACATGTTCTTCTCAATCAATCCATTGATAATAAACGCATACTATTATGCAAACCACCAAAATTATAATACAATGTGTACTTTATGTAGAATAAAACTTTACTTATGCCACCATCATAATCTGATGCAGAATTTAAGCTAAATATAAAAGACGTACAGTTCCTTTGAAATTTATATACTTTGGTTAATATTATATAATGAGACATCAAACCCAAAAAATTACCACAATAGCATACTTATATTTGCGAAATATAAATACTAACAAACCTCTGAATACACATGATCAAACGTATGTCAGTTTATCCCGAGTAACGAGATGTGATACAATCTCCTTCGTATATCAATATTTTGTATTTAGGTATTTTGTACTTGATGCTTGAAGCTATATTTAAGAAATCAGGACCTGTAATAGATTATTTAAACCAAAATAATTTCTAGATACAAGTTCCACGTTGGTTTACCATGCATTATCTCTCCTCTGATCCTTTGACCTATTAAAGTGAATCTTCTTCGTCAGAATTTATTTCTGAAATCTTGCTTTTTGTTGAACCAAATATATAACTTTTAATCATCTTTATGATGTGAGACTTTTGAGCTAGTGACTCCAGTATTTTGAAGTTTGATGAGTTTAACAGCTTGATTCACCAACAGTCACACCTGCGTACTTTGGACGCTTTTTGATGTGTGTGTTCATGGTCCATGCCACATACGACATCACAACGTCATCAATGTTGTGTCCCTGAAATCGCAAAATATACAAAAATTATTACAGCCAGTTCTGCAAATGAAGACCATTAAATAACTAAAATACAAGGATGTAAAGATATTATCTGTGTTGCAAATCTTATTACTTTAGAAAACACCCTACATTGTAAAATGCAACAAGAGGTCGATAGTGGCTATATCGCTCAGTTATTTCTTTATTTATCAGAACTAAACAGGAAATGTTTCTGCCAACTTAAGGCAATGCTTACCATCTTTGATTTCTTAAAAAATAGTAACAAAACTATGTTAATGAATTCATGGGAATATTGGAGCTATAATTGGTTCCAATTGATTTAACATAGTTAAGAGTTAGTACAAAATGACACCGAACTGGGTTTCATTTTCGGATTTTAAATCAAGTCGAAAACAGCATCTGCTGAATACTCTGTAGCAATACTTCAAGTTTGGTTATCGTGGGCCTTGTTTAAGGAAAGAGAGGCTAAACATATCTCATTCACTCGAGGAATAGATGGCCTTCTTTGCTTGTCAATTGGCATGCATTTTGCATGCTTTGACATAATGCATCTTGATCCTTTGGACTAGGTGAACTAAAACGTATGACGGCAAAACACGGAGATACAATCTAAACTAACGTCAATACAAAAGGTCGGGCACTGAGGTGACATCAAATAAAAAGGAACGATAAAACGGAGTTACATAGCGGAACTTAGATAATTCCCTACACCGTTTTGAAATCTCTGTTAAATCCAGCTGAAAGAGTTTGTAGATCACCAAATATCCGATACGTAATGAAAAAGACTCTCCTGCTGCAATTCATTTTATTTTAAAGCACAACCAAAAATGAAAAATGAACCACATGACAATGTCAATCGAAAAACATTATCAAACCTGCACAAGTTTCCCCTTGGCACTAAGCGTTATCTCGCTCCTACACGCAGAACTGTGATTCAAAAGATCTAGATCTCCACAAGCAAAATATGGCTTAATATCAATATTGACATGGGTTACTCACCACACTGGTCTCGAAGAAGATTTTCGTGGCATTTGACGACTCGCCAACAACGAGTGTGAAGGAAAATTCGTCGAAGGCCCAGTTAGGGATTTTGCCGTACTCGTAATTGGCCAAAATATCCTACAATAGAGTCACAAATACTGGTAATCAACAAGTGATTAATAATATAATATGGAATGATCTACAAAAACAATGTGCTCATTACAATCATACTTATTATTATGTATTGAGTGACCATAATATACAACTCAAATTACAACTGCGGTATGCAGTAAATAAACTGATGTCATACTTTTTTTTGTGCAAAACATCATATAATATCACCTTTTTGGCGCTAAAAGTAAGACGTTAGTTATGATATTGTGAAATTACATTGACAAAAATTGATATCAAGTCAGAATATTCGCTTCTTTGTAATGAGAAAAAAAGATATCTCGTGGATTTTTTCCTTTCTTTTTTTTTCTTTTTAGAAGTTCATAACTATCATACATGTAAGAATGTCTTATTGGTATTTTGATACTCGGTAAAAAAAAAAAAAAGGGGATTACAATGATGTACAAGTCGGACAGCAGGGACGTAACCATAGTAAAAGAGAAAGACCGAAAACGCAACTATTCAAATAACTCTCATTGCCTTTATATTTAGATAATATGGTAATTAGCGTTTTTAATTGGGATTCAACTTCCCGGCATTACGTCAAAAGTCACCATGGAGATGAAAGGTTACCTTAGACTCGGGATCCAGCAGTAACACACCGTTGGGATTGACGGCCAGTAACAAATGTTTTGGCATAGTTTTCATCATTCTTTGCTGCAAAGAAAAACGCAGTGACATATTGCATTGTATATTAGATGGTATATACAATACTTAAACATGAGTATTTGTCAAGAATGTGGCACATTTAATAGTAAATTTAAAACTCATTTTACACAGGTATGACAAAACGATGTATTAATAGAACAAAAGTTTCATTGTAAAATAATTTACTACGTTTCTCTTTTTATGCCCGAATTTTATATCGCTTTAATAATTATCTTTGGTGCACGTTAAATAACCCCATTAAAGGATGTACTAAACCTATCAATACCGTTTTTGCTGTGCAATGTGTATGGGTATAATTTTATAAGATTCAAATGTGATTAAACGCGTAAATGTTATTGTCAATTCAAGTACGCCTATATATCTTTCATGTATTTATTAATGTTTGGAGTACATTTTCTGATCAACTGACTTGAACTATTAAGCTTATTTACCTTGACTTCAAAGAAGACACTGCCGTAAGTGGGCCATGCCCAGATGGTCTTGAGGAATTCTACTTTGGCTTTGTCCGGAGAAAGGTCCTTGGTCAGCTTTAGGTTTGTCTCTACGGCCTGATGGTTTACGTTTGAACATAGAAAATAACATATCAAGCTCTGACTATATACAATGTCGATTTTTTAAATCCATCAACTCAGATTTAAATTCCAATCACAAAATCTAATAATTAGTTTAATAGTTGTTACCATCAACGAAGTAATACGAGTGTCATCTAGAAAAATGCTCCTCAACAAGGTTTGAACCTCTATCAGCTTATGATATTGTCTCACAACTTAGTTTAACTAGAGCGTGCTCAAACGTAAGTTGTTTTTAGCCCTAACCCTAACCCTAACCCTATTTCGATGAAATATTGAATTGAGCTTTTTCTAAAGTGTCTTCATGCTGTACTGACCTTTCGCCACTCGTCGACTGACTTTGTCTTGGCGTGGGACCGAGGTATCAGAGCGTTGATATTTTCACTGTGGAAATTAAGTCAAACATATTCTTATATAAGATTAACAAAACTTTTTAAAATCGATTTTATCAATTTCATTTGAATGGAGAAGTACAAAACAAATATACCAATGTGTCAACACACATGGAAATAAGGCTCTTCGGACATGATATCAAAACCTCTACTCAAAACAATACAATATGCCACTACATAAGCTAAAATATAGAAATGTAAAACTCCAGCAAACGAATACTTGCGCATTTCTGTGCATATGACGGAATGAATGCACCATAGAGCTTTTCCACACAAAAACCGAACCATAATCTTTGTCATTCTGACTTCTAAATTTCTAGGGTTTTTTCAGTGATCAATATGTACAAGTTTTAAGGTTATTGAGGCAAACGTGTCGTTCCGGTATGAATTTCTCCATGAAGGCTACCTAGATCATTGATCCCAATATGATACGGTTTCTTCTAAACTGCTAATTATCATATGAAGTGTCAAGTTCCTTGAAGGGAAGTTACGATAGAGACCTCTGGAACGATTTTCTGTTCGCATAACGAGTAACTTGACCTTTGACCATTTGGCTCTGAAATCAATAGGGTTCTCATCCGAAAACTGGGTAGTCATACTATGGTGGTCCAAATTATTTAACAGGGTGGATTTCTGTGAACTGACCTAGAGCCTCTGATTCTAAAATGTGTTTTAAGGTTCAATAATTTCTCAGATGTTGTTATCTTGTTCCGTTAAAATGGCGAAAAGACTATTTGATAATTGGAAGCGATTTAACATACAAAGGGATATATGGATTTTGGACATCTCGACCTGAGAAGTTTGAGGAATATAGCTAAAAAATCACAGGATACAGTCCGGAAACCACTGAGCTCACATACCTAGACTCCTATACTTTATATGCAGACGATTCATCAGTTTGTTATATATTCATGATGATATTAAGTTACCTAACAACACCTTATACTTACTGAAAGTTGATCATCCCTGCCAAATCTTCACCAAACTGCCCTCGGTAAATGTAGGCCGCCATTCTAGCAAGGTCAACATTTGAAAATTTGTGGAAGCCCCGGAGGTAATTTGGCAGTTCCTGTCAGAACAAAATGATGTATATAGGTTGTTCGATACATAAATTATGATATTTACTACAATCACGCTAGAAATTATAAACTCTGTAGAAATAATACAGACTCATTTTCATATATATTTCTAGTGAATGTATTTCCTTGCAATGCAATGCCATGGAAAGTTTAGGGACGACCAACAACAGACACTTGACCGTATTGAATTTTGTGGTAATTTGACCTATAGTGAAGGACTGATTACATAAAAGTGCAATTACCTGAGGAAAGTGAAACATGGAGTCAGCCATCCTGTGTTGTCCAGGTTCGGCATTCACCCATATCTTCTTCATGAAGAACACGTGAGGTTCTGGTGGAGGTTCCGGTGACGCTTCTGTAAGTATTATAAAACAATTGGTATTATGTCTTTGTTATACCAGTGTACTACATGTATATAGCATGTGCATAGTCCCCGTTTTTGTTTTTAAACATTTCCCCAAACCTTCGCTTTTAGCCGATGTAGCATGAACATTTGCCTAATATGCTCTCGATCACTTCTATCAAGTTTAATTAGTAAAAAACACAATGTCATAATTGATAGTTGTCTGCGCTCAAACAATTGATTAACCATATTGAAGCTTAATAATATTACGATTAACGATAATATCCATACAGTCAAAACTGGTGTCAACTCCATTCAAATAAAGAGTATTTTCTATGACGGCAGCAGACTTAATTCCTTATTACAAACTGAGCTATATTCGTTCTGCATCATTTAAATAACTTACTAAGTTCAAAAATATCTAAATTTCATATCTCAATACCGACGTTTACCTGGAGTTGATAAAATATGACTCATCATTGGGATGACCATCTTTAATGGACCTTGCTAACCCATAGTATTTCGGCTTCAAAGTGGCTGGATTTTGTGAAGATCAAAAGTAATATTTACTACCGGTCTTTTCAACTTACGACTAACTCTCCCTGAGTGTGCCAGCTTTGTCCAGAATCTCTCCACGTGACAGAGGGCATCCATAAAATAATCTCCATCGTAAGCACCCAACACTGTAAGTTTGAAAGTTCAAATGTCAACACAAGTAGCAAAAACATAAAATGAACAAAGTTTGGAAATACGATGGACTTGTTCATAGAAAGCAATAATCCAGGACGATGGAAATATACATGCTTTATCAACATCCAAAATACAACTTTTGTTTATTTATCGAAAAGGCATTAATAGTCATAAAAAGTTCAGAAAAACATTAATCAATATGTATCACATGCACATATATATATATATATATATAT